CCCCCTGTTTGTACGATTCATATAACTCATGCGTTCACCACGTTCGAATTACACCTCTGAGATAATCTCTTCCGAGTACTACCGATCTCTTAAGGTATGGCGATTCCAAGCTCTGCTCCCACGATCTTTTATATCTTTTTTTTATCTTTTTCTTTCTCCTTATCGAAGTACTCATCGAATAATCTCTCTTTCTCTTAACCCTTTAATATTGTAACAGTTACTTATACATTACATTGGATTATTGGATAATAAAGTAATTGGTAATATTTTATATTTAGATTTATAATAATTAATATTATTTTATTAGTAAATTAAATAAACAATATAAAATATTTCTTTATATTATAAAATATTTTGAAATAGTTGCATTGATTCGAAAAACACTCTCGTCGGTTTCCGATACATACAGTATCGGTATATTTTGTTTGTTTTAATACAAATATAATATTTTTATTTGAAAATATATTATTAGTATTTGTTTATTAAAAATAAAATATTAACGTTGTTTTTTTAGATATCACGAATATTGAATTAAAAAATATTATTCATTATTATTTACATAGATATAAAAAATATGAACAATTTCGTTATTTCTTATTAGCTTTTTGACACTTACTAATTCAATATTTTATTATCCAATATTTCAAACTATATCACTTAACATCGATATTTATGTTTTACTGATAATTGAATATCACAAAGTATAACATTATGCAACTGAACACAAATCCAATATGCTATGTAACTAATGTTACAATTAAATACAAAATTCTTGGTGTAACTTTATGCAACTGAACGTAAAGGTAGAAAGAGAGTGAGAAAGAGATAAAAGTACGGAAGTTAAAGTAACAAGTTAGTGTCCGGTCATGTCTTAAGGATTAATTAATCGGCACGAAGCAACGTTAATGTTGCGAATGGCTACCGATCCAGAAAGCAATCCCGAGAATTCGTTACGGAACTCGAAGGCGAACTACTTTCCGTTCTCTGGGAGGTTGCCAAGTTATTTATAGCGTACACACATAGCACGCTATGGAACTGCAAAAGGAAATTCTCTCTTCTCTCCATCTGCCTTCTCTCCAAAGCAAACGACCGTTTTACCTTTTCTCTTTGCCACATGGCCTCCTCAACTTGCTGTTCTAGTGTCATATCAATATGCACCAACGTATCATTCGATGATAACTTTTCAATCGATGTTATTCATCTCAACTGATCTTTCTTCTTGTTGGGGAGTTTGTTGTTGTTTTTTTTTTTTTTTTAGTAATGCACTGAAGGTTCATTTTCTTTTTTTCATTAGATTTGATTTCATTGAATAACCAATGGGAACTGTTAGGATCCTTGGTATCGCAGTGATAGGTGTATTTTATTTCAGTATTAATTCAGTATTTCATTGTCATGAAATAAAAAATTAAACTTCTTGTAATTGTGTTTTAGACTTTTATTTTTTTTTTAATTTACAATTAGTGTAAGTTTGAAAGTACTTAACGTGCTTCTAATTTTCATTATTTTGTTACCTTCTTAAATAATATCTGTAACCTTTACTAAAAACTATGATCATCATTAAATCATAAATAATTAATTGAATTATTTATAATATTAATAGTCTTTGTATTAATAACTGTAATACTTACCACTTACATTTTACATTAGTGATTATTAATTAAATTATTCAAAATATTGATTATAAATATTGCAAAATACAAACTCAATAAATAACAGTCCCATATAAGTAATATACATATAATTTCATAAAATGTGAATAGAACTGTGATGTTAAATCATATTTCACAGTAAACTACAGTCTTTAACTCTGAACAATGTATTAAAAAAAAAAAAAAAAAACAATTAATGAAAATCCTTGGATGACAGATGACAAGCATTATATTTCGTTTCTTTCCTTTTAATCCTTCGTGGAAAAGGGATCTACTGAATCAATCAAGTAAATATTTCCTTTGGGAAATAACTATTGGTTAAGTTCGCTCACACATCACTTTGATCTGTTGATTTATTTATCGATTTGCTGTCATGATCAAGCTCACTGGAATTTAACCAAGATGACGATGAATCATTTGCTTCTCTTATATTGTATATAAATATATATGTGTCTCGAATAATCCGCTTTTTTTGTCACTCAATTATTTATTTCGTTTGAATCAATCGATCTTTCCTAACTTCCGGTGGCGTTCTATTACTTTTAAACAAATGTTTGACTAAGAAATCTCTGATAGTTGATGTTTGAAATACTTATCTTTTTGATTAGAGATAATATTTCACTGATACGTGATGATGATTATGAATGATTGATTAGTGTAAGTTATTTGAGATATTACTAGAAGCTAAATATACATATATGTATATAAATATAGTTTCACACTATTTCAAAATTATTTTTATTACTTTTTCTTTCATACAAAAATTATTGATTTATATATANGAATAGAATGGTATCATTATGCGTGTATACTAATTGTAATAATTCAAATACCAAATAATACTAATCATAATGCCTTATATGTATTATAATGTATTATAATGTATAATGTATTCAATTAAAATAATAATATAAATTATAATGTGTAAAAATATATTTAAATATTATTAATTTAATAATTAAATATATTTTTTTAATTTTTTTAAAATTTATAATAATATATAATAATATATAATATTATATATTATTATTATATTATATTTATATATTATTATATTATATAATATTATAATTTATATAATATATAATATATTTTTTAATTAATAAAATATAAAATTTTATTTTTTTATTATTATTTTATTATTTTTTATTTTATGTTTTTAATCATTAAATATATATATATATATTTAATACACATAATATTTATTATTTGATATGTTTATTTTTTTGTGTCATTATGATACGAGAATAAATACACACACATATACAGAGATATTTATTTACTTTCTTTTTGTATGAAAGAAAAAGTAATGAAAATAATTTTGAAATAGGAGGAGAAAAATATTGATTTTATAAAGAAAGAAGACATACTTATTTGACTTACAATTACATTTAAAAAGAGCACTTTCATAATCACCCGGTTAGTAAAACGTCCGTAACGTGGTCCCCTCTTGCGAGAGGGTCTTTTAACAGCGTCAAGTGGCTCGTACCTACGAACCCTACAGTCAACACGATAGACAAAGCTCTCAGTGTGCATCTCGTTGTGCGGAGTTTCTCGTCGTCTTCGTCTTCGTCTTCGTTTTCGTTTTCGTTTTCGTTGTTGTAGTCGTCGTCGTCGTAGTACTTGTTGTCAACCTTGTTGTCGTTGTTGTTGTCTTCTTCTACATCGTCCTCATCGTATATCGTTATCATCATCAATGTTGATCGTTTCTTCGATCTAACGAGATCTCTCCAATTATATATTTTTTTCTATCACATGTCGTCTTTTTTTCAAATTATTTTAAGTGTATTCTATTCGTTCATCATAGAAAATTTTTTGTTTACATACTCGATGGATAATGAAATGAATCAACAAAAAAAAAAAAAATGAAATAAAATAGAAAAATAAAAAAGAAAACAACATTTTCTTTTTTTTTTTTTTCATTCAGTTGTACGTGAACTGAAAGTATACACCGATTATTATTATTATTATTATTATTTTTTTCTTTTTATTTCATAAAATCGAAAAGACATATTTTGCTTTTTAAAAGAAAATATTTCAATATTTCGAAGAAATTAGAAATGTATTTTGACAACGTTTAAGAGTGTGCAAATTTATTTTTTGTTTGTTTGTAAAATGGTCTATTAGAAAAGACGAATTTATTGAAAAAAGATATAAAAAGAAAGAAAAAGAAAAATCGAAGGAAAAAATAAAAATAAAAATAAACAAGGAAAGATTACTCTTTTCGAAGAGAATTTTTGTATTAATTTTCAAGAAATTTTGTAGAATTATCAACAGAATTTGATATAAACTCAAACAATGATTATTATAATTACCTGAAGATAAAAAAAAATATTATTTCACGTGCACCATTATTTTATGAATTGAATATATTAATTGATCATTTGTTAATAATTGAAATATAATAATATTGAAGAAATTTCTCAATTTAAAATTAAAACTTACGATTCAAATAAAAGAAAAATTGTATAAATACTGTAAATAGGAAAAGAGGATTATTATTACCTAATATTATGATTATTTTTCGAACAAAAGAAAATATATAAATATAAATATAATATATCTATATATAATTGTATAGACAATTTCGATAGAAAGATAATATCGAGAGTCGACAATGTCGAGTCGGCGATTTACAAAGCGTGAGAAAATTGGTTCGAGGGTACACGGACTGGCACGGATACAGAGATTAAACCCATCAGAGCACTCTGATCGAGTCAGAGAGAGAGTCAGTCAGTCCCTGCTATAAAATACTTTTTTCGCACGACTACCCAACAATCTAACTAACAAATTCTCATAAAATCACTATATATACCATTACTATCTTAGAAAAATCTCACAAAGTTCATTAACTAAAAATTAAAGAAACAGAGAGAGAGAGAGAGAGAGAGAGAGAGAGAGAAACAGATAATATAGAAACATTTAAAAGAAACAATACTAAAAATATAAAAATATATATTAACTTTAACGTGAGATCATAAATATTATTAACATTTAACTCTAATTGACTATGTGTTATTTTACAAAAAATCTAAAAAAATTAAAAATATAAATATAAATTATTACACGTCATGGAGGGCTATAGATATTTAACATTTATCACCGCACAACTTAATTTGACGATATATTACGTTTTAAGTTTCAAAAGTGAAAATGGTTGAATATTACATCTTACCTTTGGAACAAGTGAAATCAAACTATTGTGTTACCAACAAGTGCTTATGTGTGTTTGTTGTGCGCGCGCATTCGCATTTCTACGTATGTAACTGTGCGTGTGTGTGTATGTGTTATTATTTTACATCTGGTATATTTAGAAAAATATTTGATATTTTGTTTTTATCATTTATAATTTGTGCGTATGTATATGTACGTGTACGAGAGAGACAGGAGAGAAAAGATAAGACAATACAAGATAACTTACGAATTAATAAGTTATTTTTATTGTAAGTTTAATCATTTCAATCTAAACTTCATCTATCAGACTAAGTGGATACTTTTTATTATTATTATTATTATTATTTACGTTTGGTCAAGCATTTATCAATATCTACATTTTAAAATAGATTTTTATTTGAGACTCTTATTGTTTGAGACTCAGTTTTTTCTTTTATTATCTTCTTTGGATATCATTGATTCACTTCGAACGCCTAAGTGCAGCAACCCCAAAGGCCAACAAGTATTTCGTTTTGCAGACTATTGTGAGATTATTCAAGGTGAGAAATTAATAAATGTGATTTTATCGTGTTTGATAAATTCATTTTTTTGAGTAATTATCATTTAAGGGGTAACATCACTATAGTGCCTGAAAAAAGCCTTTCTTTGGGAATTTTTTTTGTGAAAACTAAATGAGGAATAGAATTTCTTTTTTGAGGGTTGCTTAATCATATATTGAACTATGCAAACAAATATTTTGATTGATTTTAGATAAAAAATGGCGTCGGTATTCGTGGCTGAACCAAACCCTGTTTTTTTTCTTTTTGGTAAAACGGGCGGACTCATACCTGGGCAACTATAAGATCTAGAATAAAAAATAAAAGCAATTCTTAATCTATGTACTATTATCTTGAGAAGTACATACGGATTTTTCTCTAAGTCAAATTCTGGGAAAATGGCGCAACTTTGAATAAAAAAATCGACTTTTCGACAACAAAAAATATATAGAAAATTGTTTATAAAAAAAAAAGTTTTTATTCAATTAAAAATCGGATATGTTCTTCTGTAGAAAATATAACTATCAAACTATCTTCAAAATTTCAAGTCAATCGGTTTAATGATGGTCGAGTTCTGAGTCGTTTTGTTATCACTATTCGAAGCGCTTTAAGGAACTTCGTAAAAATAAAATTTCGCCATGTTAAAAATTTTTTGTTGCTTCGGGACCAAGTGCATAATGTTTTTAGATGTCTAAAGTACACTATAAGCTAAAAAACAAAAAATCGATTTTTTGAAAATTCTATAATGGTGTTACTCCTTAAAGAATGATTGTATTATTATATACAATCTTTGTATTATTATAAACTATCTTTACAATTTTTTATACAATTATTATATACAGTATATATGTATTTAAAAACTTTACCAATTTTATCTTGGTTTTTTTTTTTTTTTTATTATTAGAATTCAAATGATGATTTGATCAATGTTTCTTATTTTAAGTTTTTAATTTTCAATTGGAAATCGAATAAATGATCTTATAAAATGTCGAATATTATTTCTATAATTTCTAATTAAAATTTTTCAAGTTAAGTTAGAAATTTTTTATTGATAAAATCGATTCGACAGTTTTCCAATGTTTCTGAAAAAGACAAATTTTGACATTTGTATAAAACTGATAGTAACTCTCATGAATTAGTCATATTTAAAATAAAAATTAATTTTCATTAAAATTCGAAGGAAAATGTATAGAATTCATTGATAATATATTATTTAAAAAAAAAAAAAAAAATTAATTTGAAAATATTCTTAATGATTTTTAGAAAGTAATCACATAGATATCTATGGTATTTTATATAGTTTGAATGAAAGTGAAATCATTCACGTGAATTAAATCGCACGAGTTATTTATCATCATAGTATCTACCCTTGATTGATTAGATTAAGAACATTTTTATTTTTTTCTTCTTCCATTAAGATATACCTTAACATAAATAAATACTTAATGTAATAATAACCGAAATTCAATGAAAATAATGATAATTGTTGACAGAAGAACGGAAACAACGAAAAGGTTATTTCTAACTTCTTTTCTTTTTTTTTTTTTTAAACTTTAATCTCTTATTCGAAGAAGACTTAAGACAGTATTTAATGTCATGATATGTAATGATTGTAAAATGACGTCAAGGATGTAACCGAGCAATTAGAAATGTCAATCAGATCTTTGGCTAATTGTTCTTATTCTTTTGTTATCATAAAACTCAATCTCATTACGCTACTTGGAAATAGAATTTGCTTTTAAACCCTCAGTTGACTCTTATATCATACTAAACGTATTATTATTATTAAAAATGATATTTATTTGTCAAGATTAGAAAATGAAAATACACACAATATTAGATTACTTATAATAGTTGATAATTTTCTATTATTTTCACAAATAATTGTTATCATCGTTATTATACAAAAATAAAAAAAAAATATTATTCACATTTATAAAAATTGTAAAAATTATAAATACTAGAAATGTGATTTATTTTATCTAATTGATCGAATGAAAAATGACAGAAACTGGGAGACATTCCATTAATTTAATTATTTCCATATAATAGGAAGATCGAATCGATTAAGTAATTTTACCTTTTCGTTAGTATTATCGAATGAATCATATTTCCTTAAAGTCTTGATTGACGTGATCTTACGGTGCATTATGCAATAGATCGTTTCGTTGGAAAAAAAAAAGTAGATAATAGATATAAAAAAAAAAACCACTCGCAAAGACATTAAACGATTAAATTGTAATAAGCATCGTACGATAAAATTACTCATTTTCACGTGATATATCTATCATGTTTTGAGATCCGTAATCATTAGCATTTAAACGTTATAACATGATTTAAATCTCTTACTAGTTTCTTGGTAGATCGATCATTCAGAAATGTATCTGTAATGATTCAAATAAAATTCAATTTTTATTCATTTAAAATGATAATGTATAATTCATGATTTTCTATAATATCTTTGAAAGATTTAAAGAATAAAAATAAAACTTGTTTTATAGGTGTATAATGATGATGATAATAAATGTGTCCGATTTATAGCTTTCGTATAATTAATTTGATGTATCACTTAATTACAAATTTACTCTAATTCAATTTTTATAATTTGAAAAATGGAAAAACATGTCAAACATTATTCTAACTATAAGGACTTAAATTAGTTAATTTAATATCATCTTATTTATGATTTTTAGTACAAAGAATTAATAAAATTTATCTTATTCATAATAACCACAAAATAATTAACGTGTTTATTATTATCATGAAAAAATCAAATTATTAACATCATAAAACAAGTTAATATTTTTCAATCAGCGACACATTATACTAAAAAACAAAAAAAGTAATAAATTCATAGAAGTAAATATAAATCAAAGATAAAATAAATTAAGAGAAACAATAATAGAAACTATTCCTTTTAGTTAATCCCTAAAAGACATTAAATCTCTTTTTAATATTTAATACTAAATAATAAATATTATATACACATGTATATTCAATATTTTTCAATATTTTGTGCTACTAGGGTATTGTAACGGTTGAAGAATACAATAATTTAATGACATCGTTTTAATTTATAATATTCGTATCACTAAATCATAAAATTTGTTAAATATTTTGTCAATGAACTAACATAACCCATTGCAATCTTATATCCATAATATAAGCCAAAGATCAAATTAGTATTACGAGTTTAGAGAAAGAAAAATAAAAAAGAAAAAGAGAAACAATTTGAACTGTTGAGAAATACTTGTTATAACGATAGTGTAAATACGTGGGTGTTGAACTTGCCCGAGACAAGAAATCCTGCTACCATTTATACGAATCACGTTTTAAATGCACTCTCTTACGTTTAGTCTGTGAACGATCGTGTTCGAGAAAACTTCAAATGAACGAACGAATGAACGATAGAAGAATAAACGGACGTAGATTACTTTGAAATATGTATTTTACGAATGAAGGAATAAACTCTTAAAATATAAATGAAACTCGAAGAATTAAGGTTTCTGTGTGTGTCCCAAAAGCTATAATAAACTACGTCTTTACGAGGAGAGACAACTACATTTCTTTCTACACCTACAACTACAACTAAAATTACAGAAAGACTACGACGACACGGGTCAAGATACTCAGACTTTCAAAGAGACTTCTACGCGCTACACTCATCTTGTTTTTCTTGTATTCTTTCACTCTGTTCTCTTTCACGTAAATCAATTCAACTCTAAACTCTACAATTTCAACTCGGAGATTGTCAAATCAACGAAACAACGCACAAATTTATATTGCTGATATCAAACGTATGTATCAAGTGTTCCGTCTTTTTATTTAATCATTTATTTAAAATCATCCTCCTTTTTTTTTTCAATTTATTCGACAAGTTACTGATAGGCGGTATTATATTATTTTCTGGTTATATATATAGATAAATGATTTTTTGTGATAACATTGTTTAAGTCAAACGTAAATATGTTATTATTATTTGTTTGTGAATTTTTTTACACGTTGTACATTTATAAAAATTATATATTTCATTATATCTATTTAAATATAATATTTTAATTATTATAATTTACAATTTATATATATATATATATATATATAAGTTGTTTTATTTTTTTTTTCGAAAGTGATTTGCACAAAGTGTAAAATGCAAAAAAGTTTTTATAAAACGATAAAAAGAATAAAAAAAAAAGAGTGAAGAAAAAAATTTACACAGAAGGATCAATTGACTAGTAAAGAATGTGGAGTAAAGTAAAGTATGTAGGTATACACGTACGTAAAACCACTTTCCGTTGCGAGCTCTCTTTTTCGAACGCTTAACGGGAAAGCGGAGGGGCGGGCGACTCGTTACGCAGAACCTTTTAATAATAAGCACGTACATCGGCCGATAAACGTCTCTCGTGGATTTCTAACACACACATACATAAACACAGATACAACGACTCGAAAAGGTTGATGCAACCTTTCGCTCAGTTTACGCTAAGTTATTCTTGAAGAAATCCTCGGAATTTTTTAATCGAACCTTTTTTCCTATGATCGACATGATTTTCAATAACTTTTGTTCATAATAATTAATTACATTTGGAACATTATTTGCGTTAATAATAAAGAAATTATTTGGTCTATTATTTATCAATAATAAAAATAATAAAATAAATATAATATAAATTTGGTTTATAATATTTATCAATAAACCTAATTTTTTGATAATCTTTTTAATTGAAATTTGTAAATATGTAATTTATTACAAAATTTACAAAGATTCTCTAATTTTCTATATATATATAATCAAATTTAAATTTTAACATAAATATATAATAAGCTTTTAAGATTAGTCGGTATATATTAAATTACTAAGCATTTTAATCGAGCGAACAAATTGTTTGATTTAGTTATCATTGATGTCGTATTATAATTACTTATTTCTTAGTATATACATACTTTCTGAGTTTAGTAATATATAATTTCTACAGTCAATATGGTCTGATACAAAAAAAACAATCTAATACATTTATAAAAGTGACGAATATATATAAAGTGGCAGATAAATACATTAATCAAGCTAAAAGAATTCTTTCGATTCAGGGACGCCATATTTATTTTGTCAATAATCTTCCAAGCTATTCGTTTATTCTTTATTCAATTTTTAAGACATACTTTCAATTGTTTGTGATTTCATATAAAGTAAAGATAATTATAAGGATTAATTATTTGTATAAAGAAAATTATATGAAAATATCAATCAAACTATTAAAATATCGTTAAGAGATTTCAATTTTGTGGCCATTGATCACTGACGCCATATTGTAATTAATCATTTCATTTATATGTTACACTTTCATTAATAATTTCGCATAAAAGGAAGAAGACAAAAATTATACACGTATAACAAGTTAACGAAAATATTAAACAAAAACTTTCTAATACAATTCAGTCGACCATTGATCAAATCTTTTATCTTATAACAATTTTACAAATTTTAAACCTCTTTTGTTTTTCCTTTCATTCTCTTTCCTTTTGCCATGTATAAAAAAAAAACAAACATATTTTCAATTTTTTGATTCCGCATAAAAACTCCCAATCAGAATCCAAAACGAAACGAAGCTCAATCAAACACTGACGCTATATTACAATTACTCACTTTCTACCGATCCCCAGAACTATTGAATCGTACTATACATTTTGTCCAATTTCCTCCATTCAAAAAAAAACCCCATCAAATTTACATGCTATATTTTTAATACTTTATAAACAATACACGTAGCAATCCAATATTCAATTCTCCTGTCTTCGGTGTATATAAACAATAACCAATAACCAATCATTGTTGATATCTCATGGAAGACTCAGAATCAGAAGAATCAGAAACAGAATCAAACTCACATTCAAAAGAAGAAGAAGAAGAAGAAGAAGAAAAAGAAGAAAAAGAAAAAGAAGAAGAAGATCAGGCACGTCGAGAAGAGGAGAACTTTGAAAGAAGAAGAAGAAGAAGAAGAAGAAGAAGAAGAAGAACCGTGCGCTGCTCGTGGATGGTCGATGTGATGGTGAGGAGGAGGATGAGGATGAAGAGGAGGAGGAGGGGAAGGGGGAGGAGGAATAAGAAGAAGAAAGAAAAAAAAAGAAGAAGAAGAAGAAACGCCGATCGAGAGTAACACGCGGAGGGTCCAGGCTCTCTCGCGTTGAGGAGAAAGAAGGAGTTAAGAGGAGGAGGAAGAGGAGGAGGAAGGGGAAGGGGGAGGAGGTGGAGTAGTAGTAGTAGTAGTAGTAGGAGGAGGTGGGGGAGGAGGATGAGGAGGAGGAGGAAAAGAAGGAGGAGGAGGGCCGTGTAGGAAGAGAGGAGGGGAGGGGGCCTCGGGAAGAGCGCAAGTTCTCATTGGTTCGCGCCTCGGCCATATTATAAGCGGCTGCAGTCCGCGCTAGTTAATGTTAGCCCGAACCTCCACAAGAGACAGACGCATCTCTTCTTTACTATATATATATATATTTATATATATATATATATAAACATATATATACCTACATATTTCTTTGCTAGAAAAAAAGTTCAGATTTATAATTGACGATTCGTAACGACGTTTACTTTAATAAGACTCTTCTATTTCTTTTTCTACTTTCGAGAGAGACACAAGACCGTTTAGTTAAAAAAAAAAATTAAAAAAAATAAAAACAAACTATATCGCAACTTCCAATTGAGGTACGCACTCATCATATATATAAATATATATATAAATATATATATAAATATATATATATATATATTTATTATCAAGTTCGTCCATGCACACGTGTGTTTTTATTCTACGAGAAAGAGAGAGAGAGAGAGAGAGGAACGTAAATAGGTAGTGAAAGAGAGAATACTCTCTGTGAAACGAACAGTGTCTAGACGCTTTCCAATTGATCTTATTCTTTTTGATCTTCTTTTTATTCTTATTCTTACTTTTATTCTTGATCTTAATCTTTTTCTTCTTCTTTCTTCTTCTTCTTCTTCTTCTTCTTATTATTATTATTATTATTATTTGGATTAACAAAAAAATTTATCACCTGTGACATTGTGTGTTGATCAATTTAAAAATTATATTTTGAATCTTTTTAATTTGTTTTTTTTTTATTGGGGGGTTGGAGAAGTTTCATTGAATTCTTTTTCTATAATTTTGGCAAAGTGAATTATATATATAGTTGTTGTTGACCTCTTCTCTCTCCTATGGTTCTTCTTGGATAACATTTTTGAGAAAAGGACGAAAGTGTATTTAAAGTGAAAGAAAGTAAGAAAAAGAAGAGAAGATAAGAAAAGAAAAGAGTGGAGGTTTTTAAAGAGAGTGCTATATCATCGACAGGATCCTTTCGATCGAGAATACGCGCTGTGCGAGAGACCTAATTTCGTTTACTCTCTGGAGATTGGTGCGCTTGAAGAGAGCGTGAACTATACGAAACGTCTACGAGATCTGACGAGAGGGACGACTGTGCAAGAAGAAAAAAAAGAAGAAAGGGAAATACAAATACACACACGTCCATTTTTATTTTCTAAACCAGTAAGTTCGATATTATGATACATTTAATTCTATTTTTAATCGTTAACAATTAATAACGCCTTGGCGAACATTCGTGACAGATGTCAACGTGAAAATTTCATAATAACGTGATAAGATTGTCCTTACATTTTTTTATCTATTTTTTTTTTTTTTCTGGGAAGAGGTGATCGTTTTTAACTCTTACACAAATAAATCGTATCATAGGTTTATTGATAATAATTCAGGAAGTAATGATAGATAAAAAAAAAGGTTGGGGGCGGGGTTGGTGGTGGTGTGATGAAATTTAGGTAAAATATTAAACGTGTTTTCTTATAGCACATACCTCTTCTAGATTTACAATGAAAGATAGACAAATTTTTGTGTTAGTCATAGGAAATTTAAAAAAAAAAAAATAAAAAATTACAAACAAGGAAAACATTCCAAATATATATATATATATAGTTAAAAAGGCCGGTTACCATGAAGTAAGCAAGTAAGCAACCCTGTACCCGCGTAAAGGTAAGGGCACCAAAGACTTTCTTGTGAGAAAGATCCTTTTGCTCCTTTTCAGTTGCTCGTTCTCCTTGTCCTTCTATCGCGACCCACGCAATTCACAAACCAACGAAAGAGTTCTTCTTACATGAGAGAAATAATTTTAGTCTTGTATCAACTATCGACGCGTTGATACGATTATTTTATCTATATGTGCGTAGATCGTTTGAGTTTAATCGAGTGTGTAAACGATCCTACTTTCTTTCGTACTAACTTGAAAATTTCTTCTATGAATGATGACACGATATTTCATATTTCAATATTAGAAAATTCTTATCAACGTGTTCTGGTTCGTGTCAATGAGTTTGTGAAAGAGAGGATTGGTAGAAAATAAATATTATGCTTGATAAAATAGTCTAAAAATAATTTTGTAATAGTATTCATTATCTATCAGTGAATTATCATTTGTGTTTTAAAATTAATATCATCATTAATTTGATATTAGATCGGTTTATAGATCAATCTAAAAGATGATCGTTGAAAAAAGAAATTATTCAAGTTTCATTACCAAATGTATCATTAGACTAGACAAAAAAATGTCTACGTAGTATTGATAGATTTATATTAAATAATGGATTAGTAATCATTAATAGAGTGATTAGAAGTGTAGTATTAAAAGATATTATAATAATATTCCTAATATATTATGTCTATTAGAAGTATTATTAACACTAGATATATCAGATCAGTCATTTTTATTGGTCGGGCCATTTTAATTCAAAGTAACATTTGATTTCTAGTAAATAATTAAGCGTTTTGTTATTTAAAAATATCTATAAATTCTATCTAGTGTTAATCGTGTATAAGAAAAATAAATATTAGACTGTGTGTGTGTTTAGAAGTGTATCGCAAAAAAATATAATCTTCCTTTTTTTCTTTTTCTTTTTAATGTACGTACATACATATATTAACTATGAGTAAAGGAGAATATAAGAAAAAAAACAAGGAACGGTGACATTTGTTATTATTATTATTATTTAATAATCATCATAATAGCGTGACTAGTAATTTTAAAACTATTCTTGTATAATACAGTTTTTATCTATACATTTATATAAATAAACAAATATTCAAAGGATAATTGAAATGAAAGAACAAAAAAAAAATCTTATAAAAAACCTAATGCTAAATAAAATGGTGACGCAATACAAAATTAATAAGAATAATTAGTATTTCGACGATAGCAGGAAAAAAAACAACAACAACAAAAAAAGTAGAAAATATTTAACGAATCTCATTCCTTCTTCTTTTTCTTCTTTTTTTTATATATAAAATACTATAATATATCATATATTAATAATTATATTATATTATATTTATATTTGTTTAACACTAGATATACCACCATTTTCAGTATACCTATTTCTACCACATAGTCAAAATGACTGGTGTATAAAAAAAAATGCTTATTGAGACTTGTAATCTTTATTTACTTTTAAAAAATAACAAAAACTGTTTAACAATAATAATTTTAATAGATAAATGGATTTATAGACATTTTGAAATTATTTACAGAAATCAAATGTTACATAAAGTAGAAATTTTGAATTAAAATGGCCCGACTAGTCAAAATGACTGGTTTGGTATATCTAGTGTTAAATATTTATATACAGTGTGTTGCGTTTTTCTCGGCCAATAAAGTACATATGAAAAAATTTGTAGTTTTAGAAGCATTTTCAATAAAATAAAATAAACAAATGAAGAAAAACTATGATTAAAAAATAAAAATAAAAATTAAAAAAAATAAAGGATAGTAGAACAAAGAATAAGAGATCGAAGAAGGAACACTCTTGCGATCCCATGGTACGATACGTGCTCGGCGGCTGACTCGTAGGGACTAGAAGATGAAAAAGAAAACAAGAAGAACTAACCAATGAACGAATGAGAAAGAAAGATCAAGATAAAGAAAAAGAAAGAAAAAGAATGAAAGAGAGAGGGAGAAGAACATAGGGGATCTATCTTTAGAGTTCATTCAGAGAATCCTTTGGCCACGACCGTGCAGAGGGCCAACACGCGAGCTGACTCAGGCGTACGCTCAAACTCACCCACGCACATACACACGCACTCTATTCTCTCACATGCATACCATCTCTCTCTCTCTCTCTCTCTCTTTCTCTCTCTCACAAGAAAGAGATAGATACAAACTTAAAGGAAAGTGTTTTCTTTAATCCGAGAAAAAAGAGATTTTAAAAATAAAACAAAAACAATTTTATACAAAAAAGAAAGAAAAAAACAACATAAACATATTTATATATATATATGCATATAACATTATTATTTATTATTATTATTAGTTGGCATTAGGAACTCGGAAGTTAATTGCCGCAAATACCAAATCCGGCCATTGTTATATATATAACATATATAACATATTTATGTTTATCTTTTTTTTTTCTTTATTTATTTATTAATTTTTTTCTTTTTGTTATTATTACTCTTTACGGATATAATATATTACGATTAAAAAAAAAAAAAGAGAGAAATTCCTTTGATTATTGCATAATAATAAAAAGAAGATAAGATTATTGATTTCTATTGAAAAGAGAGAGAGATATATATATATGGGGGATAGGTAAAAGGAAGAAGGGAATGTTTTTCCTTCTTTTTCTTTCTTTCTCTCTCTTGGAATCAAGATTTAACGGTGTGTTGTGGATTAGAAAAGGCAAACACGTAATATCGAAAACTGGTTTGAGAAGGAACGACGTCTACGCACCCGGAGAACGGCAATGGTGTGCGGCGTGTGCACGCCGAGACGAATGACGTCGATATCCCCTGAGCTAATTGAATTGTGAAACGTGACGCGCGTGAGTAGCTCGAGAGTAGAGTTGATAATCTAGTAAAAGGTAAAGGAGAATTTAATGATAAATAATCTTTACGTCATCTTAACGAAATATTTATGTTTCTTCACTAGATTCAAATTCAATTTCATGGATTAAAAGTAAGGATAGGTGATTTGTGTTTTGTTTTTTTTTTACTTCGAAACATTTTATTACGTACGTGCAATTTCAATTAGAAAAATATAGTTAAAGAGTTGAAATTAATTAAAAAGATTTATATTTAGAAATTTTAAATTAAGTTTAATGAAATATAAGAGAGAGAGTGAAAGAAGAGATATAAAAAAGGAAAGATAATATTTCATTAATCAAAATGAAAATACCGTGAAAACTGAACATTTTATTATTGTATGTATGTAATTGGTTGTATAAAATATATAAAAGAGTAGAAAGAGAAAGAGAGAGAAATTTACTCTAGAGACGTTTATTAAAAAATTGTAAGTTGATATTAGAAAAATTATAAAGTTAGAAATATGAGAGAAAGAGAAAGAGAGAGAGAGAGAGAGTTAAAAATTTTATGAGAAACAAAAAAGCTAAAAGCAGAAAATTATAGTGTAACTAATTAAAGTATAAAAAAAATATATATATAAACTTGATATTTATTAAAGATTATACGTTGAACTTAGAAATACTAAGGAAAGAGAGAGAGAGAAAGGAAGAATCAAATTTATTGAACCATACCAAGGATATACACTATACGTTAATAATTACGTTGTAACTAATTAAAGTTATGGTACACACAAAGTAGATATACTAGTAACTAGCAAAAAATTGCACAAGAAGTAATGCCACAATTATTATTAGAAAAAAAGAAAAAGGACAGGATTTACGTAGATGTTGTAAAAAAAAAGGAACATAATTATATGAATTATAATACATTCTAACCAGAAAGAAAGAGAGAGAGAGAGAGAGAGAGAGAGAGAGAAAGAAAGATAAAAATACATTATTGAAACTAATTCATAATATGATAATAATAATGAAAAAAAAAGAGAAAAAAAGAAAAATCAACATAACATTATTAAAAAAATTATCTGAACCAATGATTTATGTAAATCGTGGAGTATTAAAAAAAAAATTTCTTATAATACAATATTACTTTGTAGAAAAATAATAATAAGAAAAAATTACGAATTTTAAGATAAATAGAAAGAATAATGGAGAAAGGGACGTTGTTAAAAACTAATAATGCAACGTTTAAAATAGAGAATAGAAATCAGAAAAGAAGGATAAAGAGAGAAAGAGAGAGAGATATTCGTAAATGCGCGAGCGTAACAAAACCACAAGCACGAGTGTACGAGGTATATCGAGTTACCTTCTCAGCTTGTTCTTTACGCGTAACCGCACTCTGCTGCGGTCTCGAGATCGAGTCGACCTCTCGAACGTCGAGAGACACAGCCTCCAAAATCTCCAGAAGAAAAAGAGAGAGAGAAAGAGAAAGAAAGAAAGAAAGAAAGAAAGAAAGAAAGAAAGCTTTAGTGCTCTATAAGAGAACTTTTGTAAACGAACCAACGTCATCGTACTTTAAATGCTTTCATCAACGACATCCACCCAAACATATACAATACTTATGTGTTAGTTACGTATAACGCATACTATATAGTCCATTTTCCAGAAGGCTCTCTTAAGAACAAGAAG